AGGCTGGGCGCAGGGGCTCACCCTATAACCCCTGGGAGGCCGAGGCGGGCAGATCATTTGAGGTCACAAGTTTGAGACCAGCCTGGCCAACATGGTGAAACCACATCTCTACTAAAAATACAAAAACTAGCTGGGCGTGGTGGTACATGCCTGTAATTCCAGCTACTTGGGAGGCTGAGGCAGGAGAATCACTTGAATCCGGGAGATGGAGGTTGCAGTGAGCAGAGATCACACCACTGTACTCCAGCCTGAACGACAGAGCAAGACTCCATCTCAATCAATCAATCAATCAATCAAGATAAAATTTTAAAAGAAAGCGCGGGGAGGAGGAAAGCAACAGAAGCAATGGCGTGGGGCCTCGGGCCTCATCTGTGTTCTATTTCTCACAGGCACATCCTGAGAGCGTGTTCTGGCGGTGAACAAGCAGGGCGGCAGAATCAAGGAGGCTCAGAATGAGGGCTGCAGTGGCTGAGCTTGGCACCCTTCCTAAATATTTTCCAAATACATTTACCAACAGAAAAGGAATCACAGGTGTGTTTAGGACCCATGTCTCCAAAGACTGGCTGCAGCTAAAGTCTTCACATTAAAATATTGAATCCAAGAAGGAAATAAGATGGCCCTGCAGGAGGGAGAGACCCCAGCCACATCCCCCAGCTGTGCACCCCCTGTTCCACCCGGGAGCACCCAGGACGGGCTCACTGCAGGCCGGGGAGCCACGTCCCATCCGCTTTCGGTGTAACTCCACGAAGCCACGATCTCCCTCTCCCTGACGCCAAGCAATGCCCATGCCTGTGCTCCAGAAAGCCCCTCGTGCCTTCCCACTGCTGATATGGGCAGCCTGCGCTCGGCCCTCGAGGGTGCCATGCTCCCCCGTGATGGATTCCAGTTTAACAGCTTTTAAAAACAAGCAGACAAGAGACAGGCATGATGGATGAGTGCAGGAAGAACGCTCATTTGGAGATGATTTATGGGAAGTCACATGGTGCCACCTCCAGGGTGGGGGCCGGGGTAGATGGATGAGTTTTGATAGGGCAAGCTGCACTACGACAACAGGCTCTCGCTCAGCCCCACGGCGCGCGGCAGCCCTGCTCCCGTCAGAACTAAGGTGCTCCCCGGCCCCCAAAAACATCTGGAGAAGAGACAACTGCCCACACTCCCTGGCTCCTCCAAGTGACCCCAGCAATGCACAGCAATGTGGTTTAGCAAAATGCTGATTCTCCCACGAGAGAGGCGGGGCGGGGTGGGGAGGGAAAGGTGCGGGCTAGAGGAGCAGGTGACACTCTGCTGGAGTTTCTGCTCAGGCCCATCTCTTCCCTGTGGACCCGAAAGACCCGTCTGCCCCAGGCCCCAGCCACTACATGTGACGGACAAATCTCGTTTTGGGGCAGATTAATTCCATCCGTGTTTTTAATAAGGACTTATAATTTACTATACAGTAAAACCCAAATAGAATCCATATTTAAAGGGATGAGCTTTAAAATGGGATCTAGTTGATGGGACCCTTTCCAAGGCAGAGGAAATGAAGCAAGGCCGAGGCAATGTCCCAGGAGTAAGTGGCTTCCTCCCCACACGCTCCTTTGAAGCGGGGACTTGCCTGCGGCGATGGGGAGTCACGCTCCAAGACCTCCTTGGCAAGGTCATTACTGAATCAGAAATCCCAGCACCGCTCACTGGGCAAAAGCTCCTGCAGCCTCCTCCCTGCCCAGGTTTCTCCATCACGGATCTCCAAGCCTCTCCCTGGAAGCCCCTTCCTCTAGTAACATTCCTCTGAGCCACGGAAGGCATCCATGTGCCAGAGCTCTGGTGGCCCAAGGGGTGGTTTTGGCAGCCCCTTCTCTGAAGCCCATGTCCAGGCCACAGGGAGAAGAACCCAGCACCACATGGGGCAGGAGGGTGTCTGCAGAGGTGCAGAGCCAGGCACACCGGACCTTGGATTCGTGTTACCTGGCCCTCTTCCTTCAGACATCTGCCACCTACCCTCCTGAAGGTGATTAAAAGGCAGACAGAGCCTCAAAGCCACACGCAGGCCTCAGGCCGCATTGCTCTTTGCTCAGAGGGGCTTCCCCTCTCCCCTTGACCTCACCCTTCTAGAAAGGGAAGACTCTCAAATGCAGATTCCTCACTTTGCAATTCAGAGAGCACCTCCTGAATCAACAAGGGGCTGGACAGTGAATGCACCAAGGGAAGCAGCTCAGGCCCAGAAGAGCTTGTGGGGTGACCCCACCAAGCCCTGGACTTCCCAGACCCTCCCTTGGGGGTGGGCTGGTCTTATGCTTTCACGGCTGATGACCCCGAGGATTTACCTATTTGGGGGACACAGGTTATGAGATCCACAGAAAGGTGAGGCTGGGCCCTGCTGCCTCCTTCAAGGAGGCAACAGAAGTGGTGTTTTCAGAGGAGCTCAGGAGCTGAGGCTACCGTCACGGCCTGAGCACATCTGCCCTCCGCAGCCCTCCCCTGAGGACACGGCTACCCACATCTTCCTGGAACTCGGCGTCTGAGGTTCCAGAGACGGAGTACGATCTCAGGGGGTTGCTCGTCCTGCACCGGGGCCAGCCCCACACCTTGTGTCCGACAGACATTTTCTCAGAGACCCTGCAAGCATGGTGACCTCGGCACAGAGTGACCTGACCGGGAGCCGTGGCGATGTCACACTGGCACTGCCTTCACCACGACACTGCAGAGAGCCCAGGGTGGAAGAAGCCAGAAAGCTCGGTGGGATTCCTGCCCTCTAAGCAGTCACATTGCTGCGTCTCTGTCCCAGTACAGGCTGGGGTGCATGGCCTTCCCTTCTGGGTTCCCCGAGGGGTCCCTAATGGTTTAGGGAACGGGGTGACAGCTGTTTCAGCAGAGGGAGTTGTTGAAGGGCTTATCTCAGACGTGGGCCCAGATCCACCACTCCTCTCCTCCTGGGTCCGTGGCAGAGCCAGTGCTCCCAGGGACAGAGTGGGACAGTGGGTCTCTCGGTCGTCCCCAGCTTCCACTCCTCCCCCTCACAGAAGGCGCAACATCTTCTTACGACTCAAATCAGGCCAATCAATCCCTCGCTCAGAGCGCTGCAGTGGCTTCCACAACCTTTAAGACAAAATCCAAAATCCTCATCCCCAACCTAAGGGCCTTTGCACCCAGCCGAGGACCCTCCACCTGCACAGCCCCCGGGCCCTGGGATGCCAGCCCTCTGGCTACTTCTCCAGCACACCCGCCCCTCACTGCCTCCGCATGTTGGCACTGGCTGTTCCCTCTGCCTGGAATGCTATCCCCTCAGACCTCCCGGGGTCCTCCCTCCCTTCCTTCCATCTCAGAGCACAGCATCAGCACCCGAGGGCTGCCCTTCTGCCCTGCGCAAGCCGCAGCCCCCACCGTTCCCTGTGGTCTTAGCGCACTGCATTTAACTTCACAGCCTCGTCGGCGCCTGGCATACATTTATCCTCTGCGTCCCTGATAAAATATAAGCACCATGAGGGCCGAGGCTTGACCTTGTCTCCGCTGCGTCTCCAGCACCCCAAAAAGGGCTCAGCAGATCAGGGCTCACGACTGTGGAATGAATAATGCCGGACAGTCTGGATCGATGAGCTATGCCAAGAAGACCCCGGGGAGCCCTGGAGCAGAGAAGAGCACCCATGGCCCTCACCAGAGAGAAACAAGCAGCGCACATCTGGAGATGCACCAGCCCATGCGTGGAAATTTCCAATCCTGCGGGCACTGGAAAGGGCATCTTTGATGGGCATTGGAGGGATCCACCTGTGTCCCAACCTCTGGTCTCTTTGCCCAGGGTTCTCGTCAGCATCATCTGCTCAGCACAGAAAGGGTCATCCCACAAGCCCGCCTGCCTCATCAGGCTCCAGTCCTCCCTGTCCGGGGTGGCTGACCCCCAGCTCTGTGCTGGCTATCAGCAGGGAATGGGCCGCACGGAACCCCACGGAACCCCACGGAACCCCACGGCAGTTTAGGAAAGAATTCACCTGGTGTCTGTCCCTGGTTCCTGGGGGGTGATCTCTCAAACCTCTGGAGTTTCCAGGGGATAGGAGCATCTTTTGTTCTTCATAACAAGCCACGTCTGACCACACCTGACATTGTGCTGACCTGGCAGCTCACAGTGAACCTTAGGAAGCTTCAGGTGTGAGGCCTGCAGTGCAGGTGATTAAAGGGTTGGAAATTTCACTCCCCACCTCAGGAGACAGCTCAGTCACGTGACTCGGGGAGCTTTCGGTTGGTGAAGTCGGGGGCGAAGCAGCAGGGTGGCGCATCCTAACTCCATGGGGAACCGGGGTAGGTGCTTCCTGCCCAGCACGCTGCCTGGCCTCACCCTGTGTGTATCCTTTATCACAAAAATTTCATTTTTAGTGTACTGCTTTTTTTTTTTTAGTTCTGTGAATCACTGCAGTAAATTATCAAAACTGAGGGATCCTGGGAACCTCCGAATTTGCCGTTGGTCACAAGTGCAGGTGGCCCCGAGAGCCGTCTTACAGAGCGCTTTGCTCAAACCCTGTGGAGCCTGATGCTGACTCCGGCGGTGAGTGTCAGAGCTGAACTGCAGTCACCCTCTGGGGGCGGGTACGGAGCCATCATGCCATCCTTTCTAGAGCCACACAAAGGCTTCAGGGCCCACCCTGGGCTGCGGGGCAATCTGGACAGCAGGGCAAGAACCATGTGGGGAGAGTCAGGTCCGACCTTGGCCTCTATGGCATCTTTGCTAACGCCAGACAACGGACCCCCACGCCCTGCCCACCCTCCCTCCAGGTCTAACTGTCCCACAGCCAGACTGATTGGCTTCAGGGTAAGAATGGTCACTCCTTAAAAACTCTACCCCATACCTTCCTGCATCTGTCAACACTCCCCGTCCTACCCCACAGACACCATGACCTGAAAACTGGAGACCAGCACAGGATGCCCCCAGCCCACAACCCTTTCTGTAAAATAAAATCGCAGCATTAGAACGTGTTTCCTCCACAAATGCAAACTCTGGGGATGGGTGTGGTGGACACATGGGGCCGTCTTACCTTGTAGTGGGAGGTGAGGTCACTTTGCTGTACAGGGAGGCCCCAGAGGGGCTGTTTCTGGATGGTCCTTGGCAAGGAGGGTCGCCAGGGAAGAGCAGGTATCACAGGAAGAAGGTTAGGTTCTTACAGACAGAATTTCAACCTGCAGGAGGAAAAGCAGCAAGTAAAAAAAATTGCCTTCGAAGGAAACATCTTCCTTTTGATCTAAAACAAACATTTGGTGTTAATAAGCAAGGGAGGGCACAGCTTCAAAGCCAACTGTTTGCCACAAGGGATAAGTGCCCTCCAAAGGGCACTTTGCTTTGTGTGCCCCAGGGGTGTAAAAGGAACCTTGTAGAAAACACATCATTAGGACCCGATTGCCAGCCAGCCACGGCGCAGTCATCCCGGTCTGCCCACTCCCCGCCCACTGCCACGGGTCCCCAACCCCAGCCGCTCTTCCACTCGGCCACACGGGCCCCGCCCCATCGCCTCTCCCACTGCCACCTCTCTGCTTCCTCCCCATCCAGCCGAGATTCCGGGACCTGCCACTGTCTGCCCTTCCCCAGAGACTATGTCCCTCTCTCTTAAAAATATTCATCAGATAATGTCACTGTCCTGATCTGGCAACACAGCCTTCCACTGGTGTCCTGTGTCATTTGGAAGAAATGCTCAAAGTTGCTTCAGTGGCCTGCAAGCCAGGTGAATCTGGCTTATATGATTTGGGGGACTTCCTAAGAAAATAAGATGCAGCCAGGTGTGGTGGCTCACGCCTGTAATCCCAGCACTTTGGGAGGCCGAGGCAGGTAGATCACCTGAGGTCAAGAGTTCAAGACCAGACTGGCCAACACGGTGAAACCCTGTCTCTACTAAAAATACAAAAGTTACCTGGGTGTGGTGGCAGGCACCTGTTCTCCCAGCTTCTTGGGAAGCTGAGGCAGGAGAATCGCTTGAACCCAGGGGGCAGAGGTTACAGTGAACTGAGATCGTGCCACTGCACTCCAGCCTGGGACACAGAGCAAGACTCCATCTCAGGGGGAGCAGGGGGAAGAAAAGAAAGAAAGAAAATAAGATGCAAGGCCTGACGCGGGGCCCATATGCTCACAGATAGCTTCATGGTCAACCTTCCTTTGCCTGCAGGGCTCTTGGCAGTCTGGCCCCCTCTCCTGGCAAACTCCCTCTCTTCCCTGCAGCCCCACTGGCTTCCTGGCCATCCCTCCATGCAGGCGCATGCCCCCCCACACCACCCCACCCCTGTACCACGCCTTTGCACGTCCACTGCACGGAATGCTCTTTACTGCACAATTGCAGGGTTCATGCCTTCCCTCCCTCCCTGCCTCAGTGCTGTGAACGTAAAGCACCTTTCCAAGGCCATCCAGGAATAGAACACCCCATCAAAATAACCACCATCCCTGTGGCATCCCCTTCTCCTTTACCCCATGAATCTCCTCCTGGGGACTCAGCACGTCTGATTTCGGGTGGATGTGCTGGGATCCCGCTTTGCCTCCAGTGGAATGCAGTCTCCATGAGGGCAGGCACTCACATCTGCTGGATTTAGTGCCGAATCCCCCGTGCCCAACATGTGCCTGGCACATAGCTGGGGTTCGCTCCATATTTTTGTGAATAAGTAAATGAATGAACGAATGAGCCCACAAAAGTTACTCCCCTGTTAATACTTCTGGGTTTTTTTAGAATCGCATCCCACCATCACAATGGAGAGCAGGAATTCCCAGGAAATGGAGGGGGCCAGAGGATTTTTTGTGTGGTTGGTGAGGGCTGGCAGGGGGCAGGAGGCACCCGAGCCTGGGAAGTCTTCTTCTTGCTGAATTTACTCCAGCCCAAACAGTGTGTGTGCCATCGGCCAGACAGGACACAGAAACGGTGGGGGAGATCCACTGTGATCAGCCCGAGAGACGGCTGCTGAGGTAGAGTCATGAGATGGGGTGGCCAGAGAGTGGCTGGGCTGTGTGTCCCTGAACCGCCCCCACAGCAGAGAAATACCTGGGGACACCTGCCTTTTCAGCAACCATCAATGCCAAGCCCGCTGCCCACTGCTGGACGTGGGAGCCGCTTTTCAGTGGCAAAAGTGTGACTAATATCAATGACTCCATGGATGAAATGCAGCCAGGGAGGTGTCTGGAGGAGGGCCTGGGGGCAGGGGACCTGGGCAGTGGACTCGGGTGGAGGTGGCAGGCAGCCCAGGTTGGGTGGGAAGGGGTCCCATGAAGGGGTGCTGACTGGTGGGGAGGGAAAGCAGGCGGCAGGCTTCTCTGTGACCTCAGTGCTTGATTCTCAGCAGGAGCACAAAAGGCAAGGGCTGGAACTCACACTGCGCCAGGCCCTGGGCAGGGAAGTCTGGAGGGGATGGAAGCTCTGTGGCCTAGCCCCCTCCAAGCCTGGAGACCGCACCGTCACATAGCCCTAGCTTGCAGCTGCTCCAATGACCGGAGGGGCAGAAGCTTCCAAAAGCCCTCCAGTCTCTCCTGGTCCCCCTGGGGCTTTCAGGGAAATGATATGATGCCCTTCTGGCCCTGGAGGTGATTCCAAAGCATCTGCTCTAACTCTCAATGTGGCCTCCTCCCCAGACAGGGCTCCCAGAGCCAGCATGGAGGCAGATGGCCCAGGGAGACTCCTTCCCCTGCTCTCTCCCACACCCCCAAAGCAGAGGCCGCCCAGGGCCTGGGCAGGAGGAGCGCCTGGGGAGGGAGGGCTGTTTGCCGGGCGTCACCCTTCCTGGCTCGTCAGTGATCTTGCCTTCCAGGTGGGCGGAGAGGCCCTCCCCAGATCAGCCCTGGCAGGGGTGGCCCCACAGGAAGGAATGGAAACAGAGGTCATCCCTGGGGATCCCGAGTCATTCCCCAGGGCCACATGGACACCGATGCTGCCCAGCCTGGCAGCTGGTCCAGGACCAGGGAGCCTAAACCCTTGAAGGAGATGGGGAGGAATTAGAGGGAACAAAGACAGCAGGGGAGACATCAGGAAGGAACCCAAGAGAAGCCCCAACCCCACCGCTCCCCTCCCAGCACAGGGATCTTTAAGTGTCATGCCCGAAACGCAGGCTACCTTCTCTAGGGGCAAATGCCTTCACTTCCCCCCAGAGGCTGAGCTAAAGGGGGTGTCTGGGCGCCCACAAACCTCTCTGCTGCACCTTGCAAGCCAAGATCGTGGTAGAAGTTATTTCATTTTAACTGGTCATGCCCAGCCCCGCCTACAGCCTCTTGCTTAGAGGATGGAGACAGGAGCGATCCACAGGCCCCGAATCGGAAAGGCGGGCACCACCCCAGCGTAGCCACCTCTGCCTGGGCTGGAGCCTCCTTGGTGTTGCGGTTGGCGAGTCCCCAGGAGCTCTGCTGCAACCCTCCCCAACCCCCCGCGGGCCCAGTCCTGGAGCCATAGAGGAGGTCTGTGCGCCCTGCACCCCTCCCATGCCGCTGGCTCCACAAAGGCGCTGTGTCCCAGCCCCACCGATGGGCCCAGCCTGGTTTGGTTTTCCTCGACCCGAGCTGAGTGGGAGATAACTTAACAGCTTGTCCCCGATAGTAACGGCATGTTTTTCCCACCATCCATCACCCACGGAACGCTGGCCTACGGCTCCCTCCGCATGCACCCCTGCACCCCAGCCCCCACCCCTTGGTGCCTCAGGGTTTAGGGGACCTCAGGGCTCGCCCTTAGCCTCGCAGCTGCCAGAAGGAGTGGAACCGTGGTGGGAGGCAAAAGGTCCAGTGACCAAGTCCCCTTGAAGGCTCTCAAGGCCCCCAGCCCGGCAGGGGTGGGAGCAGAGTCAGGGGCTGGGGGGAGGGCTGCAGGTGGCTTCTCAGGGCGAGGAGCCCAGGGGCAGGGGAGGGGGGCAGGGACCAGGGAGGGCGGGGCCTGGTCCAGACCACAGCCTGCCATTCCCCCACTTGCTGGGACAACAGGGTCCAGTCTGTCTCGGGATTGAGCCGCGTCCTCCTCATTCTCGAAGCCGTATTTGCTGCCCCTCACCAGGAGCTGAGCTCAGCACTCAGGGCACCGCAGAGCCACAGGGACGCTCCACTGTTGACCTGCAAGGGGAAAAGTCTGCGGCCTCCTCAACTCCCTCTCCCCTCCTCCTCTCCTGGGAAGTCAGGTGGGGAATTCCGAGACCCCATCCTG